ATATTATGGCAAATATTTGAGAGAGTATTTGAAGTGGAGTTCCGGTCTGTTTGGCAAAGGATTGCCCGGTTGTCCCGTCCAACAGATCAATGGCTCGCATATTGAGGACCATAAGAGGAAGGCTATGAACGCCAATAAACATCAGCACCACTTCTATAACAACTGATTCATCACTTGTAGACAATTTATGTATAGTTTAATAAATGTTATCACAATTCATTTATGAAATTTGTTCCCGATTATAAGTTCATGGTTAACTTATGGTATCATACTGTATTCAGGTATGATCATACGGTACTACATTATTATGTCTACTAATCAATCAATCAATTGCTAGAATAGTTGCAATTCAGTGTCTATTTATAATGATTAATATCATGTTAACTAATAGCTACAACTGTGGCAATGTTAGACTGTTAACCTGGTCATATACCGTAATGAGAATATTTGTAGAATCTATTCAATTAAAAGATGCAGATCTTGGGTGCCATCTAAACAACTTAATGCATATTTATTTACAGTGTAATAGATCATGGTTATTGTCTGATTATAATGATTGTGAATCAATTGACTAGATCCAATAAAGGTGATCAATGCAAGTGTTACTATAAGTTGTAGTCTACAACCTGTGGTTTACTGTCTGTACAGGTATTGAAACTTTCAATTTGATAGTCAAAGCCATCGTAATCCCCACCCATTACTCAATGCATACATACAGGAAATGCTCGCTATATATACTCGTCATTCAAATCATATAAACTATATTTAATTACAATTTAATTATTTTGATTATAAATAAGACATTAATTAAAATGAATTAAATTGCCTTAAATATGAACAGGAAAACTCAATATCTGTATTTACTATCCCTAACTGGTATTTACCTGAGTTAACATTACTTGACAAATATTGCTTTGTTTTGTTTTGAAAATGGGTTTAACACTAGTTTCTCACTTGAAAATAATGTTTAAGTTTTTTTAAAGTTTTAATTTAAACATTATTTTGACAAATAGTTTCATATATTTCATATACATATAGTGTTCAATATATTTCATTGTATAGTGAATAGTGTGGATGAAAATGAGTGTCAAATACAATAACAATGGTTTGGATGCGAGAAATGGCAGTGAATTGTCTGAATTGAATGGCAATTGTCGTGATAATAGTGATGCGGATCTGTTGGAGGCCTCGAAGGTCCTACACCTGGCTCTCCAGCAAATGGATGGCATCATCGCCAGTAAGTCGACAATCGATGGCATATGTCATGACACAATCACCAATTAATTGTCTCATTGATTGTGACAATAGGTTGCGATTCACTGATGAGTCCAGACGTGAATCCATCGGTGAATGCAATGAACGAGTCGTCGGTTTTTCATTTCAATACCTATTCATTGAACGCAATGTCAAACTCGAGTAGTAATAGCAGTAGTAATGGTAGTAATGGTAACACTAATCAACAAAAACAACTCAAATTCAATCAATTGTTATCCGATTTAAATGCTTTACAAACCGATAGTAAGAGTAATGACAATATAGTCGTCGACAGAGAAAGTCGTCGTCTTTTAATTGAGTTACTCGTCAAATATCTCAACACTTCTTCGCGACCATTACCTCCTGATTATAGTCCACTCAAAGCGGTAAATATGATGTTATCTCACATTTCATTGAATCTCAAATACAAACAAAATGTCTAAACTTTATATTTATTGAAATTTCGTCAATTAGTTGTCATTAAAAAGACATATTTTGGTTAAATTTGTGCCAAAATGTGTAAAATAGCGGTGAATTTGCCTAATATTTATTGACTTAAGTTAGCAGACATTGACTTAAATAAGACTTATCTGGAGATCAAGTGTTGGTCTGTTTGGGTGCCATAAGGAGTGGATATAAGTGTGCATTGAATCAGTTGTTTGAACCTTTCATACAATTATTGTGAACACTATTTTGGCCTCACTTTTTAGGTTTTGGCACTAATTTAGTGTTTATATAACTGTTTTCACAGTATAAGTGTTGGCAAACAGCCATCCCCTGTCATTCCCACTCTCATCCCAAGCCATACCCAAAAACACTTAAATCTTGGTTTTGAAAAGGAAAAGAAAATTTGTTAAAATTATTTAATTTGTGTTATAAACAGATTTCATAGATTTATAGTTAACTAATTTGTGCAGAATTTGAGAGCAATTGTTATATCAATATTTGCTTTAAACAGAGTATAAATTTTAATACAAAACTAAACATATTTCAAGATAAACATAAATTGTATAAAACTTTTATTATATTGCATTGGATTCTTACATTTGGTGATAATATTTCCATTGACAGCAATATTCTGTTTTGAAAGTCTATATAATTTGCACTCAACTGAAAAGCGATGCTTTAGATACGGTTTCCCCTGAATTCTGTAGTCATATCAAAAGCATATGTAATGTCTTAACCTTATATTATTTATTCTATTCATAGCCTAACCTATGATAACACAAAGTCTTTGCAGCCGTTTTTGGCACCATTTGTTGAATAGGAGTTTAGAGCAAAAGTTAAGTCTAAAAGACTTCAAATCAATGTATGGTTTGTTTTCCATTGCATAACACGTCTAGCCTTTACTGCAGTTGTGATCGACTTATAAGTTATACTCCTTTTGATCCATTGTATGACTGGAAGCCTATTCTTGAACATTTGATCACTCATTCATTTGAATCGTTTTTCATATGTATTTTGTGAACAATTTTTTGTTTTTATAGTATTTAATCTAAAAAAGTTGAGCAAAAAACTAGATTTTGCGCCAAAAAACGAGTTTAAAGTATGATTTATGTGACAGAAGTTTATTGAATTCTTGAATACATTATCGGGAGTACTGTTTCGGAAACGAGTTCATAATTATCCAGTTATTTACGATCAGACAATCAATTTTATGATTGAAATCATATTTTATTGAACGCTTGCCTCCAATGAGGCGTTGTTTGAATTCTTCGTTCACTTACTAAATGACTATCAATTAAAACTGATTTCATTAATCGTAACAACATTTGTGTCGTATATATTGATAACTATTGTCAACATGTGGTCAAACCATTCGTCCATAACATCAGCGAATCGCAAGTCGGCCACCGATTCGTCGGCCGATAATTCGGATTCGGACGAAGACATCACTCCCACACCCACTCCGACGGGCCATGAGTTGTATGAGGAGACGGTTTGGAGTGATTCCACACGAGAAGCACTGAATCGCACGAAATGCAGACAATTAGACACCGAAGACAAGCCGCGAAGCACTCAGAAATCGCTTTCACCGCAAACACAACCACCGCATCATTCGTGCAGTCATTGCGAGAGCGGCGGTTCAGTCGGTGACCGTCTGTCCACTTCACGTGTGTTTCAAATGAGTGAAACGACTAATTGCTTTCCAATTGTCTCGAAACACAACTACCGGTGCAGTCACTGCGGCCTCGCCTGTGCTCACATGTACATCGAGCCAATGGCCCCTACCTATTGGGATCATGTCGTTCCACATCATCACTCGTTGCATCAAAACTTTTATTACAGAAAGGTTTTCCACTTTTAATACCTGTTCGACAAATCATGTTCATGTTCTCAATCCTCGATTGCTGTAGTTTTTGAATGCTTTCAAACTTTGAATTATTTTGTTTTCAATTTGAGGTTCAATGTTGTAATCGTTAATGTATTGACAATTGTTTATTAATCCGATTGTAATTTACTTGATTTGACAGAATATTCACGAATCGGACAAAACCCACGAAAAGCTTGAATACTTTGAAAACGAGCGAGAACATTTGCTGATTCAGGTATGATTCACTTTTTTAAAGAATATTTTTGAAAAATATAGTAATTTTTTAATTTAAATAATGTGCTGTGCATTAAATGAATTAATATTTATTAAGTTAATACTGTAACATAAATGGTATATTTAAGAAAGTAATACAGGTTATCTGAAATATTTATGACACTCTATTACTACAGTGTAATTTTCATTGTCTAGTAATCTAATTAACTAATGTATCAGTAATTAATTTATAATTGAGAATAATATATAAAACAAATGTATAAATAATACTAAATTTATAACTTGTTTAGTGATCCTAAATACACTGCAAATAACTTAATAACTATTTTTGTAGAGCGCTGTGAGAAATGTGGTGATAATTGATTACAAGCCCTCCAGAAATGCCATCATTTTTACTATTTCTAACATAGCGTTTAATACATTGACAACTAATAAGCAATTACTGTATGCTGTGTATCTGAAATCTATAATTATTTGAGTTTTATTTTAATTTTAACATGAAATTGATTTACATTCACTACACATTTCTCTATACAATAACACTTAATGTGGAAAATATATTCTTATTCCACATTTAGCTCTCATCTAAACAATCAATTGATTGAATAACTGCTGAGATAAGAGATATAACTTGAAATGAATTCAGTGTACAGTAATATACAGTAATATATTAGAGTATGTTTGAATCCATGCTTATGTTTCAATGTGTTAACCAAATGAAAACAATTATTTTTGATTTGATAAATAACTTTATCAAACATAACATATATTTTGGAGCCATTAAGTAAAGACAACTTCTTTGCAAAAATGTATTCGTGATTTAAATTACAAATTATCCAAATTATATGTGTTGTTTGCTTAACATATTTTCATTCATTTAAATGACTATTCTCTATGGCTATAAATACACTGCAAAAACGTTGAGCGCTTTTGTTTGAGTTAATGATAAATTGGTTTTCATATTTCACTTCACTTTTGAAGTCTTGATAATAAAATTGTTTCTATTTTCGTGTGCCGTAAGCATTGGCGCGGATTTCCGTCAGTATTAGGAATATTCAAAATATTCGTACAATTCTTAGGTTTACATTAAATAATCGCTATTTTAAGCATAAATCTCGTTTCGTCTCGTCTTACGAAAATGTCTTTCATTTACAAAAGTTTAATAGAAATCCTGTTTTAATCAATTTGTTTTGCTTTAGATGCTCACTTCATATTTATTAATAACTTTTCTAATTATTATTTTAAATATCTATTTGTAAGACATTGAAAAATTTAATGTATTTTTGTTTGTTTTTAAGTTTAGTATTATATTTAAGTGGCTATTAATAAAGTGAAATAAAATAGATTTAATTACATTTTACGAGTGCATCTTAAATATAAAAAGTGCTTAAAATGATTAAGCAATTTATCGCTTTACTAACAACTTTGATAAAAAATAATTTCTTTTTAAGACTGGATGTAAAACTTGATATGTTTTAATTTTCGTGAACCGCTAGTAACTTAAACAAAATTTATTTATGTCAAAAATAGTAAATTTAAATTATAATGAATTTGATAAAATTAATGGTCAGATGTTAGTTATAAAATATCAATTGGTTTTGATTGTCACGAATTAATAAGAAATTTATTTGTTGTTTGCTATTAATATGATCAGTGATGCGATCATTGATATGGCATATGATGGCATTTAACTTAAAGCTCAATACACCCTTTAAATTGATTCAAATAAATGTGGGGATGTAACCGATTAATAGGGTAACAGATAACATATTTTATTTGTCAATCACTTAATACTAGGACTTAATGTTGCGGTTTTATTTGATAAATAAATATTACTTTAAATGGAAACAATTATTATAATTAACACATTGATTGACGCTTTCATATGAACCAATTTGTAGCAAACAATTATTTCGTTGTTTTATTTGAATCGATGAATAGATGGGAATAATGAGCGAACAAATTGAATCACAAGCCGACAAAATCGCACAAATGGAGCAAATAGTAGACAATACAAAGTCTCAACTGATGGCAACTGAAGACATGTTCCAACAGTCGCTGTACACGAAGTCATCGCTAGAAAGCGCCAAATTGGACCTCATGTCCGAAATATCGAGACTCAGACTTGAATTGAGTGAATGCGAGCACTCGAGGATTACCGCCGAAGACAAGAGTCGAAAACTGGAGAACGAATTGTCTGTCATTAAGAGTACTTTATTGGACAGAGAGACTGAGATATCAGCCCTTCGACTAACGTTAGCCAAAATGGCCAGAACTACCGGCTATTTGCTCACTGACCACGAGTTGTCACTTCTTAGGGGCAAGTCGTTCACCAATGAATTCGTACGATCTGTAAGTCATTTACAATCAATCCAATGATCTTTCAATTTGATTCATAACTCAATTAAAGCGAATACCATCTTCGGGTGAATCTCGAGTGCTGGACAAACCTCCCCTTCCCATCAGTCAACGGCTGCTCTCCAGTAATCCCTCGCATTCGGAGCCTACTTCTCGTCGCGAGAGTACAGTCAGCGGACGTCAGTCTCCCTCTCCGTCGTCCATATATCGAGTGAATCCGCCGACACATAGAAGTCCGTCTCCGACACCTCTGTCATCGATGGGTCGCTCGACATCAGCCGAGAACGTGAAGCCCAAAGTGATGCCGATTACCAACTACTCAACTCTACCACACCTTCACGGCGCACAAGTACTCCACCAAATCCAACAACAGCTACAACAACATGAAATGAGCCATTCGTACGAACCTCGAACGCCCACTACTCCCACCTCTATGTCCAGTCTTCAGAACCGTTCCAATGATAACCTCAGGAACGACATGTCAGATAGTAGTAGCAAACACTCGGGTGTCGTATCATTTGGTAAAACCTTTTTTTGGCTTAAAAGACACAAAAGGGCCTCAAGTGCTCCAGAGTTAGGTGAAGGGCTCTCTCTTTTTCTCTCATTTCTTGTTTCTTAGTGTCACTAATCATTAACTCTCTAACGCCACAAAACGCAACTCATATTTACCCTGAGCTTTGACTTAAAACTACTGATATTTCCTTTACTATATCTATCTCTCTTCGCTGTCGTATTGCACTCAATGGTATGAAACATAGTTTTGAATGTATTTTGTGTTTTGAATGTAAATGTTGTATTTGGTCGCAAATATTCCGTCAATTGATTTGAATCCATAAATCTTTGATAACAGCAAAAGAAGACCAGATTATATCATCTGCGCGTTCATCCACTTCTGAAATACCAAACTCTGTACTCTCATTACCACTCGGAAATCAATCCAAAAACGAATCAAAACCTAAAGGACTCCGAAGAATATTTAGCCGGTAAATGCAAAAATAACAAATTGTTTTGGAAATCCTTTAATCCCTTGAATTTTAATCGCTTTAAGACCAAAGAGAAGTCCGTCCAGTTCTTCAGGTTTATCTGATAATGCGTTCACTCGCGGAGGCTTTCGATCGACATCTGGTCCAAGGCTTGGATATTCTCCAAGTTCCCTTGAATTTTAATCGCTTTAAGACCAAAGAGAAGTCCGTCCAGTTCTTCAGGTTTATCTGATAATGCGTTCACTCGCGGAGGCTTTCGATCGACATCTGGTCCAAGGCTTGGATATTCTCCAAGTGTTAAGAAAAGCATAAAGTAATCATCAATGAATACTATTATTGTATAACCAGTTGTATAATGAATGATATATGAAATTTCAGTATAAATCTGCCGTTTTCTCGTTGGGACACAAATCTTGTTGCCGATTGGTTCGCGATTATAGGACTCGGCATGTATTCAAATGACTGCAAGCGTTGGTGCAAAAATGGTGAGCACCTGATGCGCGCCACAGACAATGAGGTGGAGAAAGAGTTGGGAATTCGTAACTCATTGCACCGCAAGAAACTCCGTTTAGCCGTCTCTGCTATGAATCAGGAGGCGGACGACGAGCTGACCAAATGTGCGGACCAATTGGACTATCTTTGGGTCGCGCGATGGCTCGACGACATCGGACTTCCCCAATACAAAGACGCCTTCTTAGACGCCAGAATCGATGGACGAGTTCTTCACTATTTGACTGTTGAGGACCTGTTCTCTCTTAAGATCACGAGTCAATTGCATCACTCGAGCATCAGATGTGGGATTCGAGTGCTTCGCGAACAGAAAGTAACCATTTATTGATTGAGACTTTAATTGATTGCTAATTAATGACTTGTTTTTAGTTTAACAGTCAGTGTCTGAAGCGAAGAGCGGCCGCCGACGAGACAAACATCAGTGAATGGATTCCCGAAGAGATAGCGTTGTGGACATCACACCGAGTGATGGAATGGTTGCGATCGATTGATTTGTCTGAATTTGCGCCAAACCTGCGCGGGTCTGGAGTTCACGGCGCTCTCATCGTATACGAGCCCGCCTTCAACGCCGACCTCTTCTCGACATTGCTATCCATTCCTACCGTTAAAACCCTTTTGCGTCGACACATCTCTATTAAGTTTAAACAACTCATTGGCAATGATTTGTGTCGATCGAAACGCGACTTTGAGTGCCTTCCCAATTACGTGCCTATGATTCCCGGCGCTAAAGTGAAGGTGCGATATATCTATGATTTAATACTTATACAAAACTATAGTTTTTATTTATTTTGATGTATAGATCCACAGAAAAGGACAGTTCACCCTTAAAAAGAAACGTAAATCAGATATGAGTTCCGATGACTACGTGTGTCCGATGGGAGACAATGCGAGCGCCGGGTCTCACACTCCGAGTCTTCGCTCAGTTCGCCGACAGGACTCCATTTCGAGCACTAATTCAACGCAAAGTAATACAATGGATGGCAACCGAAGAGATAAAGTGACTGATGTCTGAACACAACAACGATTACTAGATTTTATATACATTTTATGTCTTTTGACTATATTTTAAATTTTGTTATTTTCTTCCATTAACTCTAAATTTAGACCAAAATTATATAATTTATATCTTATTTACAGCTATTGTTATACAAATTCATTCACGTATTTAAAATTATAGAAAATGTTTTCTTTGGTATATTATC